AACAGGTATTTTTACAAAATGTTTCACATTGAATGTCTACATCTTCACATTGACTGTCTACAGTTTCACATTCACTGTCTACATTTTCACATTGACAGTCTTCACAGAGACTTGTCACCTAACAGACAGTAAACTCACCTGACAGGTACTGACTTGTCACCTAACAGACAATAAACTCACCTGACAGGTGCTGGCCGTCACCTAACAGACAGTAAACTCACCTGACAGGTGCTGGCTGTCACCTAACAAACAGTAAACTCACCTGACAGGTGCTGGCCGTCACCTGACAGACAGTTAACTCACCTGACAGGTGCTGGCTGCCTCACATTGACTGTCTACAGCTTCACAGAGACTTGTCACTTTACTGAGCGTGATCAGACTTGGTAAGAGACTCGGTGAGCACATGTTCATGGCCTGACACACTAGCTGATGTGTGATCTTAGGTAAGCTCCTCAGGCTCTCTACTCCATTCTCTGATTCACTTAATACTTCTTGTAGAACCAAAGCCACGTTGTAGAAAATCTCAGCCGTCTTCTCTGAGGGACCCGAGTCTAGTAGTTTCCTAAGTCACAAACAATCATATCTTAGACAAAAGACTCAAGGGTCTTGATACTATTGTCTCAACTTAAAACTCTGTACATTTTCAAAAAATCTTTTAAATGTTATTAAAACTGATATTCATTTCTCAGTTTTGAAGTTATTAAGATTATTTGTAAGAAGAAGCCCAAATTAAAGACAATTTTAAGAAAGCACAATCAAAATGAATTCTGTAAATTATGATACCATGATTTATATCTTCCGTAAGATTGTCTTTTTACAGTGTTAATGGTAAGAGAATAAGATTTACCAAATATCTTCTCAAAATGTTATCAATAAATATATACATGTAATACAGAGTACTGTATACAGGGTTATTTTCGCCCCATTTATTTTTCGCCCTTCCACACTTGCAAGAAATTTTGCCCAATTTTAAATTCGCCCATTCATAGTTTTATTACAGAAATTATGTGTATTATTTCATTTCGCCCCGTTTTAAATTTGCCCAAATGAGGACAGGGCGAAAGGGGCGAAAATAAACCGGGAACGAAAATTTCCCTGTATACAGTACTATTATTAGAACATACTTGCAGATTCTGAGGACGTCTTTAATTTCTCCTTTTTTAGCAGCCTGCATGATCATCTCCCCTTCCATTTCAATGTTAGACACCTGTAATATCTCTGCCAGTCTGAAACATAAAGCTCCACAGTATTACATAACAGGGCTCTCGATTCTCTAAATCTGGGGCCGATATTCGGCCCCGTTCCCAATGCAAAAAAGGTACCTTTTTTCTCAAAAGAAAGGTGTAAATTTCCCAATTTCCATAGCAAAATATGAATTAAAAAATAAAAGTCCATGAAACTTCATCGCCAAAAAAAAACAACAAACAACACGTTTGCAAATGAAAGTGAAACCGTACCACTATTTTATTAGTTCGCGCCAAATGCATTCGTTATTGTTTTTACAAAAATGTGTACTAACTATGAGTGCAGAGTATCTTGTCATGTAGTTTCGACAAAAAACATCATTTTGGTTTCAAAAAGAGACATTTCATTTAAACATTAGTAAGCTGCACCTAGAAACAATCCCACGCTTCGGCAAGTTCAGTCTCGCGCTGTATTGGTAAGCAAAGTTGTCCATGTGATTGAGGAAATTCGGGACTATGTGACTGGCGACTGCATGTCACCTAGAAGACATAACCGTAATCATCAGCACTCAAAGATAGTAATAACAAATACTTTCATAAATACTATAGCCTACGTATCCATGTTTGTTCTGTTAAACTGTTTATTAAAAACCAGAGTTAAATTGATGACAAAATGCTTGAAAAGCGAAATTTGAGGATTTTTAAAAATGAATTTTGGTTAATATCCAATTTTTCCCAAAATGACGATAATTTTCCCAATTTGAACGGCCCCGGCCCCAGTCCCAAAAAGTGGTGTGAGAGCCCTGCATAACTCTACATTTTATATTTCTTGCATTATAAATTACAAACTGTAACCTAGTGTTTCCTTGTCCTGAATGCCACTGGGGTTATCAGATTAGATATGCTGACATTTGTTTCTCTTACAATGTAGCACAATACACACCTGTAAGCCTCAGTCCAATTTCTGTTCTCATGAAAAATAGTTTGTGTATTTTTTCTAAAAAATTTAATTTATAAATGCAGTAAAAAAAATACTAGTACATGACATTCAAGAATGCCAGAAATGAATTTGTGGCTTAGGGAATTACCTTTTTGAAGAAGTCCCCCATGTAAGTATGCAGGGTTTTCCTTCTTATGTCTGATTTAACATACTGGTCCAGTGTTAGATAAATGGAAAATTCTTTCTGAAATATGAATATACAAACTGGATTTTAACATTTTGACATTGTCACAATGAAAAACAGTTCTGTATGCTGATAATTTCACCTTGTTTCTAAATATTTCTCTAAAACCATCAATGTCATACAATATTTTAAACAAAAGGAAAGCAACAAATAGGTACACATGTAAGTTCTGTATTGTTTATTAAAACATGCCTTCAATTATGATAGAAAGATAGAACTACATGTACATATTATACCGTAAATCTGGAAATTTTTACGTCGATTTTATTTTACAAATTCGGGTCAAAACGGTGTTAAATAATTTGTACGTTTCAAAATTTTGCGAATTACCACTGCTTTGTTTACATTTTCTTATTGGTAATTTATTTTTAAGAAAAACATTTTTGCGAATGCAATGAACTCGCAAATTTGCTAAAAATTTATCTACAGCAAAAATTTCCAGATTTACGGTATGAGTTAACAAAAAGGCAGTTTCAATTTGTATAAAGATATTTTGACAAATTGTCAGCTTCCTTACATAATAGAAAGCTGTATAAACAGCCTACTAGACAGTGAATGTATAGAAGAAAACATACCAGCAATGCATGGACATTTTTCACATTAAACAGTAAGAACTCTAAATCCTCAACTTCAAATTGATCTGAAAAAAAAAGAACAAATATATTATAATCAAAATCTTTTATTCTTAATGGATTGATTATTTTTCCCATTTTGTATTTTAAAAAGTGGACATAAGATATAGACCTGGAATTCTGCTGATAATGAATTTGATCAGGTAAATGCCAGCCTCACACAACAGCCATTTTCTGATGAAGCACACCTGAAATAAATATTTATATAAGGCTACATAAAACTGAAATTAAAGTTCTAGGGCCAACACACTTCTGCTTTGTGGTATCCTCATTTCAGTTTTTATAGTAATTTAGCCTAATCAAAAATTTAAATTAAAGATTTAAATTAAAATTTTGCTAAAATTTACAAATGGTTTTCCACCACAGCTAGAACTTACATTTTTATCAAAGATGACTGGATCTTTCAGGTGAACAATGACGAATCCTATCAGGTGACGACAGCAGGTCAAGGTCATGTGGGCGGGGCACTGTCTCAGCAGCTCCATACACTCGTATAACTGTCAACAGAAAACAAACATATCATAATGATCTCATGAAATATTTAAATAAGCAAGAGACCCTAGGGCCTTCATGGTCACCGAGTACAACAATTTAGAGGATCATAAAATAAACCCACTATTTCCATAAAGACACAATTTGGAAGAGGTACACTCATCATCATATCTATGCAATTAGTTAAAGATTTTCAAAGAATCCACACATTTTTACTATATTGTCAATCTCTCCCCCTATCCCCACTCCCAAGAAACACCAGAAACCCTGGGAAACTAATTTTTAAAATTTTGTAAATGTACCCTTGCTCAACAAAACTAAACTCTTGTTTCTTAACTTTATAATCAGGGGTAGAGAAAAATATTTTGAAAGAAATTGTGCATTTTTCATCTTATAAGCAATAACACCCCCTCCTTTTTCATCAGAATCCTTGACCCTGGATTCATGATTTCCAAATTTTGAAAGAGGCATTCTTGCTTATCATAATTATGCACTTCCTTTGTTCAAATAATAACCAGGGGCAGAGAAGATTTTCAAAGAGTATATTACTATATAATCAATACAGCCCCACTCTTACACCAGAACCCCTGACCCAGGGGCTATGAAAATCACATTTTTGGAAGAGGCAGACATTACTATGAACTTCCTCACACTAGCACTAAAACTCCTGACCCTGGGGGCCATGAATTTCACAATTTTGGTAGAAGGCTCAATCATAACCCCAACTTAATCCTTGAATCTTTATTACAATGGAATATCTTTCCTTATACAGTAACACTATTAATTCAACATAGCTTATGTCTGTTGCTCTTTAAAAGATTCTTTTTTTCTTTTTATATCCCCCCACTATATTTCTATGTAAAAATATGACTCAATTCCTCTTCTGGCATCATACTTGCTAAAATGCTGTAACAGTTACTTTAAATTATTATTTGTGGTCCAGCAATTTTAGAGGAGAACATATAATTATAAGAGTTCAATAACTGTTTTTAAGATTCCATTCTGTCTTCTTTTTTTTCAAAACTGAACTGCACCTCAGATTCCTTTGGTTGTTAAAGGAAAATAATTTTAAAAAATCATTCAGTTTACATATAAAAATGACATGAAGTTATCTACATAACCCCTACATTTCAAGCAGTTGTTGAAGGTATTTAAATCCCCTGCTAACCAAGAAGTATAAACACCTGACAGGTAGATAACACAGGTGTGTCACATGATCAGAGTATATACAGATAGACTGCACTGGGAGATCGATCAAGGACAGACGCCATTACTGAAGTCAGGTAGGAAACTCTTGTAGTATTTCTATGCATTACAGCTGAGAGTCATTGAAAATTCAGTAGTACAGTCTTTAACTATGGGAACAAAATTTAATTCCCAAGATTCAATCAACATTGTACATGTAATATAATGAATATTTACATGTGTATTTACCGACTTTCTCTATCAAACTGTGTTGCTGCAGTAAAAATAAATAAATGTTGGACTCCAACTCAGTCAATAGATGTATAATCATTTTTGTTAAATTTTTAATGCTTCAGTCACAAAACCTAATGATGGACCCCCGTACCAGTGCCCAGGATGTGATGCGATGTGACCTGTGTGAGACCGCTGTGGTACAGATGCACTGTGATACATGTCTTGTCAACCTGTGTAAGGCCTGTGTGGGAGAACACTTTTCTGCTGATCTCTCAAAACCTCATAAAATTGTTGACTTCAAAGACAGGAAATCCACTCCCCTCCATCCTAAATGTAAGTCCCACGACAAGGAACAATGTGAAATGTACTGTAAACAGTGTGACATTCCTGTCTGCATCAGCTGCCTTGAATCTAATCAACATTTAGGTCATGAATTATCTAAAATCTTGCGAGTTCTGGACGAAATAAAGGAAGTGATTACAAAAGAAAGAAATGAATTAAATGATAAAATTTATCCCACCTACCAGGACATTGCCTCTGATGTACAAAACAGAATGAGTCAGTTAGAAAAGGAATATAGAGATCTCTCAACAGCCATAACAAAACATGGAGAGGACTGGCACAGAGAAATTGACAAACTTGTCAAGAAACTTAAAGCTAAAGTTGATGAGATGAAAAACACACAGTTACAAACTCTACAGAAACATCTGGATGAAATAAACAAGACAATGTCTGACATCAAGGATGAAATCAATTCAATGGAAACTGTAATAGACAACAATGACATGTCAAAACTGTTCAGTGTCACATCCCAAGTGAAAAGATACAGAAATCTTCCTGACAAAGTCATTCCATTTTTACCTAAATTCATTCCAGGAAATATCAAAAGCAAAGAACTTGGTAAAATGTTTGGAGTCTTGTCATCAAGTTCTTTAACATCAGATAAACATGGCTACAACATGAAGACAACACAGAAATCACCAGAAGCTGGATCCTCTCCTCCAGTCAAACAACTGCTTGATGAACCAAAGACTGTCACCACCATAGACACTGGGTATGATAGACTTTACAATGTGGCCTGTCTGAGTGATGTAGAAATCTGGACAAGTGGATCTGACAGCATCATGAAACTCTACAGCATCAATCAGGGATCACTACTCAAGTCAATCACAACCAAGTCAGGGAAAATACCATATGACATAGCAGTGACAAAAAGTGGAGATCTAGTTTATACTAATTACTTTGTCAGTGATAGAACTGTGAACATTGTGAAGAATGAGAAGATAGAGGAGGTGATCAGACTACAGAACTGGAAACCTAAAGGTGTCTGTAGTACCTCCTCTGGTGACCTCCTGGTTATCATGAACAGTGATGATAACAAACAAACAAAAGTTGTCCGTTACTCTGGCTCCACAGAGAAACAAACCATTCAGTTTGATGATAAAGGTAAACCTCTCTATTCACCTAGTTCTCTTTATCTAAGATACATTACTGAGAACAGGAACCTGGATATCTGTGTGTCTGATAGTGACGCTAAAGCAGTAGTGGTGGTCAGTCTGGCCGGGAAACTGAGATTCAGGTACACTGGACATACTCCTGCTCCAAAGAACAAACCATTCTATCCACAAGGAATCGCCACAGACAGTCAGAGTCACATCCTTACAGCTGATATTGACAATGATTGTGTCCACATCATAGACCAGGATGGACAGTTCCTCTGTTACATAGACTGTGGACTGAGTTATCCCTTGGGACTGTGTACAGATACAAATGACAATCTGTTTGTTGCTCAATTGGAAAATAAACAAGTGAAGAAAATCAAATATATGTAGATCTATCTGCAGTGATTTACATTATTGTGTTGTAGAATTAGAGGTATGTAATATACATGTAACTGATTTATCAGTATGGTTTAACTATGGAATCTTGTAATAATATATATATCAGTCTTATTATCAAATAATATCTTTTACCATTAAAAAATAATGGATATCCATTGAAAATAAGTTAAGCTTTGATGTGTTTTATAATGTATGCTTCTGAAAACGGTTTGTTTTGCTCAATATAGGCTGTACTATAAAAAAAAACATAAGGTTTTAGGATATTTCTCCATACACAAAGCACTATCTAAGAATTTTTTTAAAACTGCCAAAATAATTCAAACCCAATTTGAAAGAATCTTTTCTTCTAAATTTTAAAGTTGCGAAATAAATTTGACAAGATTTCCAATGCATTATTTGAGGAAAACTTTTTCATAGTGGCTATATTTTTTTTCACACAAAAATATTTTTTCCAGCAATTATATCTAAGATATACCCAAAAGTTTTATTTATCATATTTTATCCAATATATTACCTAATTTTTCATATCATTTAATGAACTTGCACAGGGAAATCATCAAATGTTAGACAGTAATCACTTTGTAATCTTGCCTTGTTTTTGTGAATCAGATGTCTACACTTGAAGAGATAGATTTCCTGTTGGTACTCGGTGTTACCATAGGCCTCCATTACACTCAGGGCATCCTGTACACAGTTGGGCTTGTCTTGGACCAGGATGTACTTTATTAGGTCCTACAAATAGAGATGTTTTGATGTTGATGTGTGCTGTATGTATGTAACAGGGATTTATCTAGCTATTTTGTTTTACTACCGTTTTATATGTAAAGGGGAAAAATGAGAGCCGCAGGCTCGATCTGAGCGCCAGAGGCGCGAGAATTCTAGGGGGGTCCGGGGGCATGCCCCCCCCGGAAAATTTTTAAATAAATGGAGCAAAATCCTGCATTCTTAGAGCTTCTGAGGGTCATTTGTAGACCTTTACAAAGGCCACAAAAACTTCACTTTTGAGACAAAATATTAAATAACAAACAAAAAAAAAAAATTAACTAGGTCAGTACTTTATTTAATTTTTTCTCGATATCTATCACAAATCAATTCTGTTTTTCATGTTTCACTACTAACATTGTTTTTGTTGTTACTCCATTCTTCTGATTTATAGTGATTTAAGCTCCGTCTTACTCATCTACACTTTTCTCAACTCTGCAATCGCATACGTATATTTTGACATCATGGACATGGCACATGTTTACCGATCAATATCAAATGGAAGCTTGAATAATCTACTCTCTCTTTCAAAAGCGTTCGAATGACTAGGATGGTGAGTTAGGATATGCTGTTAAACTTCAATCGGACAAAAACGGAAATTTTCAGTACGATGTTTTAAATATTCTCCGTTTAATCGGAGAATTTTCTATCTGAAAAAGGGGAATTTTTCACCTTTTTCAAGAGGGGAAAGGTACCGTTTACCGGTAGTAAAAACAGCCTTGATAAATCCCTGTGTAAATAATGGTCATACAAATAGATCTACTTTTAAAAACCTGTAAATAATTATCTAGAAACATATGCTTTGTCTGAAGATTCTGTCTATGCTTGTGTGTACTGTTTGTATGTGATTAGATAAAAGTAACACGTTATAAAAAAAGTGACTCCTATCAAGCTACGAACCCCGTTTTCACTTAGATCCGACACTAATTTAGTGTTTCGGCGGTGTGATAACAGGCCAAATAATAAATAAATATTCTAAATAACTAATTATAATTAGTTATACAAGTAGAGCTTTTTAAAAAAGCTTCCCGTCTTTAGCAACAATCTTAAACAGTTAACTAATTACACCTATCAGGCCGTATAATTCTTTTCAATTTTGTATTTCTACATGAGCTTTTTACTGGCATTAGCTCTACCATGGTTGTCGCTCGGTCATCTCCGTAAACTTGGATTGGCCGAGAGCTTTCGGCAAACCTCGGCTGATTCCATTCCCTTCTTCAAACAAGAAAGGGGAAAAGAATAATAACAAATTGTAAGGCCTGCAAGCTTTAAAAATCAAATTTTATTTATAATGAAATTAAAGAGACCTTTTTATTTATTGCTATAAAAAAATACCATGTTATTAAGAATTAATTACTGCTGATTTTGCTGTTCGTTTTGTCATCTTTATAAGATTTAAAATCTTGCAAAATTGTTAAGTCGTACGAAAATTAGATCATCAGAAAGTTATCTCCCTTGCCTTGAACAGCATTTCAACCAATGAAATAATTGAAAATTTTCTCATCATGCAATTTTTACCAATCACAAAAGAGAGGAAGTGCATAGTCCGGAGACTGTAAAAAACTTCAACTATACTATACCGTCTTCCAAGGAAGACGGTAATAAGTCCGCCATCATCAGGAATCCACTTATATATGTAAATCAAATATTGTTTATTTATTTTATTTGATTTATTGTATACCGGTAAGTTTTTTCAATCGTAGAACCGGTCAGGGAATTTCCCAAGGTCATGCTATGTTTATTTATATTATAAACATAGATGGAAGTTGTTTGCAGAAATATGCAGGTATGTTACAATAAGTTAATATATCAGTGAATGATCTGGTTTATTACATTGTAATTGACCAGTAAGTGATGGTTTTTTTTAAAAAACATTCATTTCAGTTTGGAACTAGTTAGGAGATCTCCTAAATTTTTATGTTTTTTATAATCTATAAATGGTTTGTCTTTGAATATTTCTTTGAGATTGGGTTCTCTAGTGTGCCAGTATTTCAGTAATTTCTTTTTGATATTACAAATGGCTGGGTAATATTTTGTAACCATGACTAATGGTATATCAGAGTTACTATTAACTTTCTTTTTCCGATTTAAATGGTCTGACACTTTTGTAATTTTCCAGAACATTGTTCATTGAGTTATTTATCTCATTTTCACTGTATCCTCTTTTCAACAGAGAAATTTTGAACTTTTCGACAGCATTGTAAAATATTTTAGAATCGCTTGTATTGCGTAAATAACGAATGACTTCGCTTTTTATAATGCCCTTGAAAACTGAAGGGCTATGTGCACTATTGCGCTCCAGATACTGGAAGTATTAGTAGGTTTGATGAAAGTTTTAACATCAAGAATCCCTTCTGATTCAAACCTTTCTCCCTTAAATAGGGAGATGTCAAGGAAGTTCATTTCTTTGTCAGAAATTTCGTATGTGAATTTTAACAGAGGATGATGCGAATTTGCTATTTGGAAAAATTGATGAATTTCATCTATTTTCCCTTGATAGATTATAAATCCATCATCTCGATATCGACCGTGATAAACAATATTTTGTTCAAATGGAAATTTGTTTAGAATTTCTGAAGTGACTTCATACATTCTGATGTCGCACACTTCAGGACTGCATTTTGAACCCATTGCGCAGCCTATAATTTGTTTATATTTCTTAGAATTAAATTCAAAGACATTATTCTCTAATATTGTTTGTAATAACCACAGAAGATCTTCTGTAGGTGGTGAAGGAATTTTGAATTCTCCTTTGTTGTATTTAGAGTATGCTTCACTGACAGCTGTGAGTAATTCATTGAACTGCATATTTGTATACAGGGATGTAACATCATAACTGACCATTATGCATTCAGCATGAGGTCTAAGTTTTTCTATTTTTACAATGAAATCAGAGCTATCTCTGATGTAAGTGGATTGTGTTTTGACTATTGGTATTAGGAAGTAATCAACGTATTGGCTGATTCGTTCCGTTACCGACCCGCATTGCGAGATAATAGGTCGTGCTGGGCAAATGATTTCATGATTGCAGTGGCCTTGTTCCTTGATTAGATCAAACATCGTCTGATCTAATTTGTGAAGTTTAGGTAGTAAGTATAATCTACCTATTCGTGGATGCGTAAAGTCCATTAAAAATCTATATGTAACTTTATCCACATACCCATTTGCTTTAAGTTCATTGATTTTATTTTCAATATTCCTTTGGAGTAATGACAAATCAAAATTGTCAATTATTTTGTAATATTTAGTGTTCAGTTGGCGATCGCCTTCCTTTATATAATCGTGTTTGTTCATAACAACACATATGTTGTATTTGTCAGCCTTTTTAATTACAATATCGTTGCGATTTCGTAATTGGTTGAGCGCTCTTCTCTCAAGTTGAGATAAATTATGTGAGCATTTTTTTATTTGAATTGAGGAAAGTTCAAGTTTAGTTTTATCGATATAGGTTTCAAGTGCACCTATAATCTTTGGTGGTTCATATCCACTCTTAGTATAGAAAGGATGAATTTCATCGTCATTAGTCTTGAAATTGAACTTACATCTCATTTTACGTGCGAGTTCATCAAAATCTTTCAGTAAGTCGTTTTTAGCGACTTTGGTCGAAGGTGTAGGGATGAATTTCATCCCTTTTGCTAACAATAAGTATTCATTATCTGTTAACTTGCTTTTAGTCAGATTGAATACATGTTCTCTTGCATTAAGATCATTTGAGGAAAACTTTCTATTTCTGCGGGCTTTGTGATTTATTGCCCTGATGAATCGTTTTCTTCTTTTTATTTTTCGATCGAAACGACGTGCCATTCTATAAGCTGTGTATTTGGAAATGTGAGCATACCTTCGCACGTGGTAAAACCAACGACAGCGCATGCGTTCAAATCTTTTTTGCATCAATAGAATAATCCAGATGTATTTAAGTTGAATTAAGCAATATGAAAGTTGGAGACACAATTGCATAACCAAAAGGCATATAGATAATATTGTAAAAATCCAAAGGAAATGAATATTTTATTCAATGATAATCCACAGAACATAATTTGTCACAAAATATTATCATAAGTGAATGACACTTTGAAGAAATGAATTATTCCCATTGGGATTAGTTCGTTTGCGTTAAGAGTGATACACTCAAATTCAAAGTGGACAATAGAGTCACTTTAGGATCAACAGTTCAGTCTCGCATGAGTGATACACTCAAAGTTTAATAAAATGTGAGTAGACACTATAGTCACTTAGTAGGCGAAAATTTTCGGCCTTTATGTCCTCTGCCTTTGCCTCCTTTATTTGAGGAACCGGTACTGGGTTTGTGTTTTACATCAGCCCCCTGTCTTTGTTTGGTCCTGATCGAGGTACAGAATTGTAACAGCTCTGTTGAACTTTTCCCTTACTCGCATTCATCCGAGTGTTGAGTCCTTTTTCGGGCTAAACCCGAGGAGGAAGTGGTTGTTCCTATTTTTCTGAATGCCTCCTGTCTGATTTCTCTTAATTCATCATTTGTCATTGCAATTTTTTCCTCCATGAATTTGATGGAATCTTGCATGAATTCCTTTTCAGAGAATCAGATTTTTCCTTTCACAGAGATTGGAACAAATTATCAATGTCCTTATCTCCAAGATTAGGATGACAGGTAACATTCCACTTCATGAAAGGTGGTAATGTGTTATTTTTCATGGCAAAATAAATTCCCTCTCGGGCACAGGCCAGCTGGTGTCGTGTTTTCAGTTTTTCACTGAAATTATCACAAGCAATGGACACAGTATCACTATCAGTAAATTTGTCCGATTTGACATCGGTTGAATCAAGATCTGTGAGATTCAATCCATAGTCGAACTGGTCTTCTTCAAGCTCATTTTGCATATTTGCAAATAGTTCTTGATTACTTGGTATATCAATATTATCACACACACATCCATTTTGATGTGTTGTTTTTTAGAGAGTGACAATCTGTTCATACTGAAATCAGTGTGATAATGACCAACTTTTGGGTGGTCAGAACGGCAAAAGGGTGT